TGATCACTGAGAAGGATGAGTTACATTGAACTCATTAAGCCTCTAGGTAGACGATCAAAAATACAAACATCAATTTACATAGCAATTGTTGCAGAATGACATCGGGAAAGGATTAGTCATCAATAATCATGCTACATTGAGACCCATGGACCATGATAACATTATTGAGCTAACCTATTACACTGTCTTCTTGTTCCTGGATTGCTTCCTCCTTCTGACCAGGCTGGGTCTCCAGCAAGGAAATAAATCTTCCTTCCCAGAAGTGAAAATACATTTAATTGCCCAGAAAAGAAGGTGACAATAAAAACCATTGTATCCATCACCAAAGTTGATTTTTGTCTTTGAAAATGATTGTTTTTCAGTCTTGTACTTAAATTTCCCATTGGCACTGAAGGAGGAAAGTTAACTCTCCCTTGTTGCCTCATCTCTACCTTCTTCATAAAGCTCTTCCCTCAGACACTTAGGCAGAGGTACCCCACTTTCTCGAACCTGATTTGTAGTCAACAAGCTCTGAGGTCTCCTTGCTCTTTCTATTCTCTAAGGATTTCTTACCTTGTTACTGTGCTACTTTGGTGTGGGCTTCAAAGGTGCAGTTCCTCTGAAGCCAAAAGTTAATTATATTCTTGGGAAAGGAAGTCTTGCTTGAAATAAGAAATTAGAAGTTCTCTGATTATATTTATTCATACTAAGTTGTTAAATTAAGCAACTGTTATGTCAGACCCTGAGCTGTATACAGGGAACATGAATCCAAAGAGACTGATGGAGGAATAAATGACACTGCCTTAGTTTCTTGCACTCTCTGGCCACTGGAACTTTTACCACCTCAGTAGATGTTAGGACAATCTAAGAATGTTGGGTCTGGCTTGTTTTTTATTTTCTCATTTTCACCAAACTAATAGAGCATCACGACAAATGTTTCAATCTTTCCTAATTTATTAGTGTTTCCTTATCTGCTAAATTTTTAAGGATACATGAGTGATTATTCCCTCCATTCCTTCCAGGCAAACCCAATGACCAGAACTACTACTGTCTGAGTACTGCAACAAACACTCTATTTACACCTGTATTTGGAAGGTAGATTTATTTTCTCCCACTGATTTATCCTAATGTTTTTTGTTTGTTTGTGTTTTTGCATCATTTTCTATCTTTATCTAGATAAACCTGATTGTACTATAGGTCACGGGCTTTACTACAGTTTTGGAAATAGTCATGTACAAGACTGTCAAGGTAATGATCTCTGCTTACTTTATTTATTTATATATTTTTGAGACAGAGTCTCATTCCATTGCTCAGGCTACAGTGCAGTGGTATAATCTTCAGTGGTGCAATCTTAGCTCACTGCAAACTCTGCCTCCCAGGTTCAAGTGATTCTCAAGCCTCAGTCTCCTGAGTAGTTGAGATAAGAGATGTGCACCACCATGCCCCACTAAATTTTGTTTTTAGTAAAGATGGTCTTTTGCCTTGTTGACCAGGCTGGTCTTAAACTCCTGGTCTCAAGTGATTTGTTCACATCAGCTTCCCAAAGTGCTGGGATTACCGGCAGGAACCACCATACCTGGCCCTGCTTACATTCTTAATAAGAACTAAGAAACATTAGACACACACGTACAGGCACACACACCAGTGATAAGTGTTATTAAAAGAAAACACAGCCGGCCGTGGTGGGTGGATCATGAAGTCAAGAGATCGAGACCATCCTGGCCAACATAGTGAAACCCTGTCTCTACTAAAAATGCAAAAAAATTAGCTGGGTGTGGTGGCACACGCCTGTAGTCCCAGCTACTTGGGAGGCTGAGGCAGGAGAATTGCTTGAACCCAGGAGGTGGAGGCTGCAGTAAGCTGAAATCACACCTCTGCACTCCAGCATGGGTGACAGAGCAAGACTCTGTCTCTGGGGAAAAAAAAACAAAAAACAAAAAACATCTTTCTGACATCTGGGACCCCTTTTGTCGAAAAGAAAAACCCCACCAAAAGAAATCAGTCACCTCCATTACAGTGTGCAGGTTAAGAGCACTGAGTTACACCTTTTCCTCCAAGGGCTGGTCCCCAGATGCAACCTGGACACTCTAATAGATAGATGCCTGTGGTCTGCTGCGGCTCCCCTGCCAGAGGCCTTTGCGCAGGCTGGGCTCAACCCACTCATCTGGACCTGGTGAAGGGGAAAGGGAGGAAGGCCAAAGGTGTGGGGCAAGGGAGGGTAAGGAGAGAGAAGGAAGACAGACACTACAGCACTCCATGGTCAGTGGCATAGAGGAGGCCAGCCACCTGCTATCAGGGTCACTGTCACAACCTCCTGCCACTTCCATGCATGGGACTGGCCTGGTGCTACCTGGAAGGAGCATGCATCTGTAACCTGGCTTCGGGCCCCACCTGTGACGCTTCCCCTCTGGAACTCCCACCCTCACCCTCATTGCCGTGTTTCTCTGCCGGGTCAGTCTTTCCTTCAGGCGAAACTGCTGGCACTGTACGTAAAATCAGGACACCGGCTTTATTCTGGGAAGTTCTGAATAATAATTACTGGGGGAAGAGGGAGGAAGCAACCGAGTAAATCAAGAAAGTAAGGAGTAGCCACGGCTGAGGTCTCCGCCACTGTGTTGTCACTGTGCTGTCATGGTGCTGCTGTCAGCACACCCGGGCCCACCCAAGCCTTTCCATTTCTTACCTACATTTGGTCTCGTTAATGCACATCTAGAAATATTTTCTAACGAAAACCAATCTAGGATATATTCATACATTAATTTTCAGGGATGTTTAGCAAGGCTCTTTGTGTACAAAAATTGGAGCTAGGTAAATGACTAACAATAGGAGACTGATTCTAAATCATGGAAATTCATTAAGCAGACTTTTTGTTTTTAGACAGGGCCTCACTCTTTGCCCAGACTGCAGTGCAGTGGCATGATCATGGCTCACTGCAGTCTCCAACTCCTGGGATCAATTGTCTTCAGAAGGGGCAAATACTTCCTCAGTGCCAACAGGGAGCATTTCAGAAAATGATCACAGTGTGCACCCCTCCATCTGAAAGCTTCTTCCCTTCCCCAACCCCCTCCCATCAGTGGAAAATTACTGTGGCCCAGCAGGGAGTGACGTGAGTGTGTGTCAGGAGATTTTGTTGCTGTGCTCTGAGTACTCACTCCTCATCTCCTCTGACCAGTTTCCTAACACTCCTCCTGTTCACAGCACAGAACATGAGTGCTCTTTCCTGCCATTGGGATGCTAATAAATGGTCAGTGATTCTCAGTGTGAAAATGAGAATGAAGCAAGTTTTTTTTTTAAAAGACAGGCTACAATAATTCCCATGCTGAGAACCACATGCGATGACACTGAATTCCAAAGAGCAAGGATGTGTGGTGAAGATGAGGCCAGCAGTGAGCTGAGAGGCCAGCCAGAATCCCAGCCAGGATTGACATGCGCGGGGATGCATGGGAATGGGGATGGGACATTGGTGCAGAGCATCCTGGCTTGTCTCAGAATGAACATGGGTAGTGGATTCCTAACTCCTGAAGAAACCAGAGCTCTAGGAATTGTAGGCCGCTTTATGTTACGAAAGAAAAAGACGGTGTTCTGTCCTCCTGTCCCTTACATCTGGGCCTACTGCCACTAAACTTGGAGGCTAAGAGGGGTATAGTGGCTACTCCAGATTTCACGATATCAAATCAGCCTGCTATTTTTTCTGTAATGGTTGTGTTTAGTGGTGCAGCTAAGATTCACACTTGAGTCTCCTTACTACAAGTTCTCACTCTCGCAGTGGAGACTTAACAATAATCACTTAGTATGTTACACTTTTTTGGGAAGAGTTACCAGTTACACTTCAAGATCTCAGTGAGTTGTGAATAACACAAAGGACAGACAGGTTTTTTGTAAAACTACACACTAAATATCATATGGATCACAATTACAATAAAAACTAATTTACTGTTTATCTTGAATTCAAATTCCACTTAGTATTCCTTATTCATACTTGCTAAATCCTGTCACTCTTCCTTCATGCATTTTCAACATTAAAAAACAGTACGACGTCTCATTTTAGCAACTTACCTACAGAAATAAAGACAGGAACCACATTACTACTGAGACAAACACAGTCACTGCAAATAACAGATACTGGAACATATTAATATATTAACTTTCACCCAAAAAAACCTGAAAGCATTTGCAGACAGCAAAAATAGCTTCATCATCCTTTTGTTTGTATAATATATCTCTGGAAAGATGAAAAAGAATGAGAACACCCATTTGATACAGGAAAGAAAATGCTGTGGACAGGAACAAAGTGGGAGGAAGACTGGTCACTGCCTATTCCACTGTGCACAATTTGAATTTGGAAGCATGCAAAAGTATTGCTTGGCTAAATTAAAACCATTTAAAAGATAAAAAATAAACATTTAATACTAGCACAATATGCTGGGAAACAAAATGAAAGGCTTTCTGGCCTCATAGACACTCTTCCCTGGACTGAGGCTTTCTAGTAAAGGAGATGGGAAGGCTGGCCTGCTGGTGTGGACAGATTGCAGCAACATACACAACCTGGGAAGGACGGATTCCATAACAATGATGAGCACACAGCTACCTAATGGCCTGGATCCTCTGAACCAGTCAGAGGGCACAGATGTAGATCATCTGACAAACCCAGGGTTTCTTAGGAAGTGTTCTAAATTGTGTTTAGGAAGTGCAGCCCCTGTTGAGATTCATCAACAGTGGGAAAGAGCCCAAGTGGAAAGGAACATGGGTTGAGGGGAACAAAAGTAGGTCTGCTGATGAAGAATGGAAGTAAACGGGACATCAGGGTGAAGCTTTGTGCTGGGAGCCAGAAGGACAATTTAAAAGTTGCCTGAAGAGACGCATGCCGTTTGTGTTACTGCCGTCCAGCTGAAAATGAACCTCAATTCCTGCCTATTGGCTGGAGCCCTTCATAGAATGTCCCTCACCCCTACCAGTACCTGCTGCACTGCCCCTCCCCCACTGCAGAATGTCTGGGGTCCTATGTTCTAAACCTACGTACTTTCAAATTTTACCTGATCTACCTGAACTCAGGAGAATCTGTTGAGGCAGGTCACTCTCTGGGTCCTGCCCTTTCATTGTGGAAACTGTCAGACAGTTGTGATTGGCACCCAGCCTGAGGGGATGGCTTCAAATGGAGGTGAGTCTGTAGGGACAGGGGCATTATCCAAGTCTCTGCCATGTTTCAAATCCTTGGGAATTCAAATTTATAACTGTCCCAGGGGACAGTTCATAGGGCCGATGTCGAGGAGAGAGGGAGCACGAATGTCCCCAAAAACATCACACTTGGGGAGGCTCATGGCACCCTGAGTCTGTGGTTAAGGAGGACAGCTCCTTAGAGGTGAACCAAGGTGCCTGGGGGAATACAACACGTAGGGGATAAGATGGAGTGAACGTACTGATTCTTTCTAGAGGAGGACAAGTCACGTCACCGTGTGTTTGTAGGGAGTGGTGGGATCCTGTTGTGCTGGTGGCCCAGGGAGGATGACAGGCAAGTCTGAGCCCTGTGTTGTGTCTTCAGGCACCTGGAAGGTGCCCTTCCATAGTGTTCAGAGGGATTTGGACTGGAGTTTTCTGGATCTTAGGGAGAAGTGAGGAGAAGTCGTCTCAGCCAGAAAACTGTTGGGTGTGTTGGCTGTGACAGAGCATGCAGTGACAGCCTCTGGGTGGGCGAGGCTGGGGCTACTGTAACTGCTACAACCTCTCAGCTCCCTCCCCAGTGGTGGCTTCTCCATCAGTTCAGGTGGCTGTTGGCTCTGATTTAACAGGGGTGGGGGCAGTTGGGGAAGTTCAGGCAACACGGCCTGGGCTTCCCAGGTTGTTCTGAATTGTTCGTCCTTTTGCGGAAACTCAGGTCTTCAGACCCACTCTCTCGTCTGCTAGCTCATGGCCTGTCCTCTGCACTTTGTGTTACTGAAGAGAGGAAGAATTTGCTTCTATTCCATGTCTACTACCTCATGAACAGGGGACAGGTGTGGACTCTTGCTGGTTTTCAGTGGAAGAGTCTGGAAAGACTGGTTTCCTATTCAGTAGAGAAAGGAGGGTAACATACAAATAGGAAGAGGGTCCTCTTATTATTATTCAATTAGAATGTGTGTCCTGACGGATGAGGTGCATGTGCTGTATCCCTATACCCCTTGACTGGAGACTGCATGAGGTCCTAGTGAACAGGATGAGCTCCGGACAACTTTGCCACACCTGGCCTGTGGCCCAAGAACCTCTGGTTCTTGGTTGGTCACTATATTCAGTTATTGGGAGCTCAAAGGAAAAGGACCACAGGTGGGGTTGTTGTCCCATGAACTATTGTAACGTGACCAGTAGCTGTGGAAATCCCGAGACACCTCCGCTGACAGCCCCACTGCTCACCACTTGCTGGCTGTGCTCTAATCATGTGCCGCTGTTGCTGGCGTGCAATGACAGTATCTCAGGAAACGCCTCCACTGCTTCTCAGACCTGCTCCCTGGGAACAGAGCTTCCTGAGTGGCAGCCAGGACCACCGAGCACTGAGGAAAGGGTGGCCCAAATCTGACCCTTGTGTAGCACTTGCTGTGCATGGTGCCAGGACAATCACTTGCAGGCTGGGCATGATGTGTATGGGTTATCTTCAGGGTTCACAGGGTGCTGGCTTGGGAGAGATTTCCATCTAGTGGTTTTCTTTCACTGTTTTTCTTTTGAGACAGATTCTTCCTCTGTCAACCAGGCTAGAATGCAGTGGTGCAATCTTGGCTCACTGCTGTCTTTGCCTTCTGGTTCAAGCAATATTCCTGCCTCAGCCTCCTGAGTAGCTGGCATTACAGGCATGCGCCACCAAACTCAGCTGAGTTTTGTATTGTAGTAGAGACATGGTTTCACCACATTGACCAAGCTGGTCTTGAACTCCTGACCTCAGGTGATCCACCTGCCTTGGCCTCCCAAAGTGCTGGGATTACAGGCGTGAACCACCAGGCCCGGTCTATCCAGTGGCTTTCTTTTGTTGTGTTGAGTTAGGAAAGAAAGGGCTTTACAAGAGCTTCAGGTTAAAAAAAAAAAAAAAAAAAAAAAAAAAGGAGATGGGGCTATAATATTAGGAATCTTCTGGCTTCCTGTAGGCCTTCTGAGTGCGGAGCACTGCCCTGGGGGTGGCCCCTCACTTGCTGCTGAGCATGCTGAGGGCCTCCAAGCCAGCGAGAGATTCATCCGTGACCCATGGCTTGGGAGATGCCCGTAAGGCTGGCAGGGTCTGCCAGGGATGCTCGAGGGAGACACTCAGAGGCAGCGAAGGCTTGGCTGTTGCTTCTTGGCAGACAGGGGTCGGGGAGTCAAGTGGAGCCAGGGCCAGGCTCTCTAGTGAAGCGACCCTCCTGAGGAGTAACAGAGCATGCAATACACACTCAGGGACACTTGCAAGCTGCAGTTTCCCTGTCACACGCCCTCAGCTGTTGGGACACCCCTCTGATTCCCAGTGACTACTGCAGACCTGCAGACCCCAGCTCATTCACCTCTTTCCTTTGTCTCCACAGCATGCCCAGTGCTGGGACCAGGTATGACCAAGAACCCTGGCACCTCCATGCCAGTGTTCACAACTCTGTCCTTCACCACACCTGCTCCAGGCCCAGCACACAGGCCACCACTCCTGACTGCAGTGGTTCCTCCAGGTGGCCCTCTGGTGCTGTTTGCCTTCCCCAGGACGCCTCTGGTGGCAGGACAGGATGGCAGAGGCCGGAATTGGGCTGGGGCTTCCAACGGCCTTGTCCAGATGAGGACAGAAATGGGGCCTGTGAAAGGTCCTCAGGCACAGACCTTGGTCCTAACTCAGGCACCCCTCGTCTGGCAGGTTCCAGGTGCCGTCTGTGAGGGTGTCACATGTCCACCTCCCCGACCCCTGGCAGCTGCCGCTGTGGTGCCCGCTATGGCTGTCCAGGTCTTTGGGGGCACCCAGGCCTGCAAAGGAGGCTGGCCCCAGGGCCTTCCTCCTCCAGCACCACCAGCTCCCCAGCCGGCCCCCATTATGGCCCCAGGGAATGCTTGTCCATGGCCACAAGGGGCTCATGGAGAGGGCAGCCAGTCTCCCTCCAAGGCTAAGACTCCCCCGGACGACTCCTGCAACCCCAAGAGCGTGTATGAGAACTTCCGACTCTGGCAGCACTACAAGCCCCTGGCCCGGAGGCACCTTCCCCAGAGTCCGGACACGGAAGCACTTTCCTGTTTCTTCATGTGAGTGTCCCGGGGCACCGGAGTTCATCCTGCAGCTCACCCATAAAGAGGCTGCTGGGTGGATGGGAGGTCACTCTGTTCAGGGGAGCTTGCAGGGCGGTGTTGAAGGTGATGGGTTGAGCTATGGAAGGGCACATTTTCAGCAACACTAATCTGCTGCCACTCAGGACAGATTCTCAGGAGCCTCATCTCACCTGCCCCTCACTGTCCTGTGAGTCCAGCCAATCTTTACTTCCAATCATTTTCATGACAATGTTTACAGAACACCCAGGTCAGAGAGGGTTCCCGGTCCAACATGAGCCATGGGTTGGGTTTAGGACTTTGAGTGTGCCCCAGTGCCTCCCCTTGACCTGAGTGGCGAAGGCCAGAGGCACATCACATGGGGCTGGGGGTAAGAGCTGCAGGAGCCTGGCACACGCCCACTGTTCTGCCGACGTCCAGCTGGCACAGCGGCGGTGGAGCCTGCACAGGGAATGGTTTTGGGCCCCACACTAGGGTCCATGCTGGGCAGGTATTTGCAGCTTCGCCCTTGATCCCTCCTAGAAAAAGGGACGACGATGCTTCATTCAGAGGATGGCGAACAGGTGACTTGAGCTCACATATGATGCACGCAACACAGTGCCCGGCACATGCTGTGACACATTACGTGGTAGCAGTTATGATTACTGTCCCTATTGCTATCATTATAAGAACTAGGCCATCTAGGACAGCACTTCCCAAAGCGACAGGCTCCACTGATGGCTCTGAGTGAACGACGAGCCCAGCAGCCCAGGGCCATCGACTGTGGTGACTGAAGCAGCAATGCCAGCATCTGAGAGTTTGTAGATTCAGTACCAGTCCTGCCTCTCTCCATCCTGCAGTGCCTCTGTGACCATGTCCCCCACTGATGAGCAAACCCGTACTCCACGGGAGCTTGAGCACATCTACTATGCAATATACTGGCCACTCCTCTAGGCAAGTCCCCTGCCCAGGGTTTAGGTGTTAGGAGGCCCCATCATTGTTCCCAAAAATCTTGCCACCTCTGCATCCTGGAACTGGTTGCATTCTCCCTTTGAGCTGAGTCCCGGTGCACTGGGGACCCTGATTCTTGGAGTGGAGTCGCCCCAGGCTCAAAGGCTCCGCTGGCAGTGTGCTTGCACACTGCTCTGCTTTGGTTCTGGTTTCCACTCCTCTCTAGGACACTGAGGCTGTGTCACCAGGGGCTGCCTTGCTCCAGAGTCCCCAGGAAGCTGCATGTTAACCTTCGCTCTCCAGTCATTCTGTGTGTGCGCTGTCTCAGTCAGCTCGGGCTGCTCCATAACAAATCCCACAGACTGGGTGCTTTATCAGGACACATTCATGTATCCCAGCTCCAAAGGCTGGAAGTCCCAGGCTGGAAGCCCTGGTGTCTCCTCCTGCCCTTATCAGGGTTCAGATGCCATGACAGGAACCCACCCACATGACCTACTCTCACCCTGATTGACTCCAAGAACGGACACACTGTGGCTGACGGCTTCAGCATAGGACTGCTGGGGACACACACGTTCTACCCATAGTATTGAGTTCACTTGTCAACACTGAGGACTTGATGGGCAGTCGGAGAGGCCACCCAATGGCTTGCGTTGATGTTTAATATTGGGGGCCTGTCCTGGAGGCTGAGGATCCCATGTTGGGGAGAACAGGACAGGGACACATGGCAGGACATGTGTGGGGAGGACAGGGGCCGGGTGGGCTTGGGATGGAGGGTGGGCTTGTGGGCTGGGACTGACTGCAATGCCTTACAGACCAGTTCTCAGATCTCTGGCCCGGCTGAAGCCCAGCATGACCCTGGAGGAGGGACTGTGGCGGGCCATGCGGGAATGGCAGCATATGAGCAACTGTGACCGGATGATCTACTACCAGATGGCGGGAAAGTGAGTCTGGGGTGCAGGGGCAGAGCCCACATGGCAGGGTGAGAGAGGGTGACAGAGGCCTGGTGGCCATGGCGGCTTCTCGGCAAAAGCATGAGGAGGGTGTGGACAAACACCGACCCTCCTGGGCCCCTGGCTCCCTCAGGAAGCTGCTTGTCCTTCCTAAAGTGCTCCGAGGTCTCTATCCTGCCCTGGTGGGAAGCCACACCCTGCCTGGTCTGGGGACAAACCCTGCCTGACACTGGGGGTCATCGAGGGAGCAGCCAACATCACAGCCCAAAGGTGGTCACCTCCAGCTGTGGGGATGGGGAGAAGGGGCACTGGTGACTATATATAGAGAGAGCAGGGTGCACTCTCCTCACAGCAGTGGCAGAAGTTGGTTTTTGCCCATTCCAGCCTGGCCAGGATTGGAGATACCTGTGCTGGGTCAGGGGAGACCTGTGTCCAGGACACCATAAGAGCGCCCTACCTGCCTTCGCTCCTGGGCAGTCCCTCCATTAAGACGGACAGACAGCAGCCTCAAGGGAAAGGGGCTCTGTCTTCTGGGCTCAGCTTTTGCTTCCTCCCGACCAGAGGAGGCCTCGTGCTCCTGGGTTATCCTTCAGGGACCCCCAGTCCCAACCTCAGGACTCCTGCATCTGGGCAACATTCCTGACACCTTCTGCCATAAACGCCGCCCCTAGCTAGCTGAAGCCTGGAAGAGGGGTCCCACTGGTGCCCTCCAGGGCCTCGTGGTCCTGACTTGAGTCAGAAAGCACTGTTGATGCCATGGGCTCTGCAGGGGCCAGGTGAGGGAGGGAGAGCCCAGAACTCTGGGAGCAGTACCCTCCTGGGACGGGGTGATGGGCCCCAGGGAGGGCCTGGACAGCCAGCCCGAGGCACTACTTCCCATCCCTGCCATCAGCTGTTGCCTGGTCCTGGGGGCAGAGGGTCTGGACCCTCTCAGCACGGCCTGCACCGTTTTCACCCCAGGTTCATGGAGTTTGAGGCTGAGGAGATGCAGATTCAGAAGTCGCAGTGGATGAAGGGGCCCCAGTGCCTGCCTCCTCCAGCCCTTGAACCTCAAGGACCATCGGCCCCTGAGGTGGTCAAGCAGCCAGGTATGGCTTCCCACAATCCTACAGGAGCCACGGCAAAGCCCAGAGGGTCCAAGAGAGGCCACTGTCCCCACACCTCATGCCTCCCTTCAAGAGAGGGATTTGTTCCTTCCAACAAGACAGCTCAGGGGAGCCGGGGGGCTGGGCAGCCCGTGGTCATGAAGTGGGTATTCACCTGGTCACGTTTCCTAGCTACTCTCTCCCCTCAACATTCCAAAACTCAACAATCTGCCCAGGAAGCAGGGATGAATAGGTAGAGTACTCAGCATATCAGAGACTCCAAACTTCCTCCAAAATGATGCTGTCTCACAAGTGCCCCTCCTATTGGCGCCTCTTCCAGGGGCGCTGCGGCTGAGGTGGTCCTGACCCAGCTAGGACCCACTTCTGGTCCCTGAGTCCTGCCCTCCCCTGTGTGATGCAGGCAGGAGGAGCAGCCCTCACCGTGCCCATCCTCTTCCCTCCCTGCCTCAGTGTACCTTCCCAGCAAGGCCGGCCCCAAGGCCCTGCCTGCCTGCCTGCCGCCACCCAGGCCCCAGCGGCCAGTGGAGACCAAGGCCCACCTGTTACCACCCAGGCCCCAGCAGCCAGCAGAGACCAAAGCCCCCAAGGAGATCCCCCCTGAAGTGGTGCAGGAGTATGTGGATATCATGGAGGAGCTGCTGGGGCCTCCCATTGGGGCCACGGGGGAGCTCGAGGGACAACAGGAAGAGGGAGAAGTGGAGCAGGAAGAGGACGGGATGCTTTCAGACCCCTACCTGCTGAGCTACATTGACAATCTGTGTTCCCAGAAAGACTTCGTCACCAAGGTGGGCTGGCCTGAAGTGCTGGGGTCTGCAGGATTCTGGGGGCGGGGGGCACTCACAGGTCCTTGGAATTAAGCTCTGTTCCTTAGCTACTCCATAGGGGGTGGATGTGTGTGTTTCCGTGGATTTGAGGGTCTGTGTATGTGATTGTGTGTGTCTGTGTGTTTGTGTCTGTGATTTGTTACTATGTGTCTCTGTGGCTGTGAGTGTAGAGTGTGTATGTTACTTGTGTTTATTTTCCTGTGTCGTATGTGGGTCTGTTTGTGTCTGTGTGTGGTTTGTGTGTCTCTGTCTGCATGTGTGTATGCTAACAGGTCTGTGGTCTGTATGTGGAGCTGGTGGTTGCCATGATATGAGACAGCTCCAGAAGAGTGGGGACGGGGTGCTCACTGCTTTCTGCTTCTCCTCCAGGTGTCCTTGGCTCCAGGTTACTTCCTGCCCAGGACTCTCACGCCGTCTTCCTTCTGTTTCCAGGTGGAGGCCATCATTCACCCCCGATTCCTGGAAGAATTGCTTTCCCCAGATCCACAGATGGATTTCTTGGCCCTAAGCCAGGAGCTGGAGCAGGAGGAAAGACTCACCCTTGCCCAGGTAGAACATGGAGGGAGGGGAACCCAGGTACCCCAGGGACAGAAGGTACCCCAGGGGCTGGAGGGACCCGGCACACAAGCCCCACCTGATTGTCTACCCCACCCTGCCGGGGATGCTCAGCTTCTTGGGGAGCCAGTCCGAGGTGGGGAGGTGCAGGTTCAGATGGAGTAGGATGGAGAGGAGCCAGGGAGGGGAGTCAGGATGCAAACTGCAGTGAGGCCCAGTGGAATGCCCTGCAGAGCCACACCCTCTGTCTTTGACAGGAACCCCAGCTGCCTCAGGCTGCCTGCCGCCCAAGTGCCTTGGTCTCCACCACTCTGGGCCCTGCTCACACTTGAGGCAGCGCCAGTATGTGCCCCCTTTCCTCCCGCAGGTAGCAGCGAAGCGCTGCCTATCCTTGAAGGAGGAACGGTGTGAGAGGGCAGCCCCTAGTCATGGCACCACCCAGCTGGACTCAATGTCTTCTAAATCTGCAGAGGGCCAAGGAGCAGAGAGAGACGTCCCTGGCCCCCAGCAAGGGGTCAGCCTGGAAACCTGCCCACCCCAGACAGCTGCCTGGGACCCTCAGGGACGACGCAGAGCATGCACTGGCATAAGCAGGTCCATAAACCCTGCTGTGCTCTTGGAGAGACTGGATTCCTACTGGCTGAGGGCTGCCCGGTCAGACTCTCCTCCCCAGGACCATAGACCCACCTGCCCAGGCATGGGGACCAAGGACACCTGGGGTCTCCCTGGAGCCTCTCCTGTCAAGGAGTCACACAGGCTGTCTAAGGGGTCAAGTGAGGAGGAGAGGGAAATCCCTGGTATGGTTTCTGCCGTGGGTACCAACTACAGGCTACAGCCCTGGAAGCTGTCCCAGAGCCCTGTCCCTGCCTCGGGCCTTCTCAGCCCAGCACCCGCTCCCACCACCAAGTCTAAGAAGCGAGCTCTTTTCAGAGGCCCATCCCCTGCTGTTCAGATGCCCCACCTAGGGCCTGGGCTCAGAGTCTCTGGGGTGCAATCCTTGCCTTGGGGGCTGGGTGGCCCCTCACAGTCCCAAAAGAGAAAGGGTGACCCCTTGCTCTCTAAAAGGAAGAAAAAGCAGCACTGTAGCCAGTAGGGGGACAGGGCAGGCTCTCTGGTGCCAATCCCCAAGGGTGTGGCTCTCAACTCTCGGACCCTCATGGCACCGGGTGACCCAAAGCAAAGACTTCTCCCCCAGTGCTGATCTTGCTGGGCATTAGCTTTGGAGGGTGGGGGAGGGAGAGAGTGAGGGAGGAAGGGGAGGAAGAGTGTGGCTGAACAGGAAGGGAGGGCCTGGGGGAAGGGGTAGGAGGTGGGGAGCAACACCTTGGGGGTCTCCTGTGTAAATACAAATAAATATAGTTGTGTTGGAAATGCTCTCGGGGCTGCTGCCTCTGTCCTCAGAGCTGTGCTGCTCAGTGGAGGGGGTCTGTGAAGGAGTGCAGAGGGACTGGGAGATGCCAGGCACTGGGGACCCATGGGGGCCAGCCCCTCCACGTGTAGGTTGCCCCTTCAGATGCTCCAGGTACTGCTGGATGCTGAGGAAGCCCTGATCCCTCCCATCACCCACTCACAAGGCCCCGACTGCTTTAGTTATCAGCATCCCTGGAAAATCTTGGGATGGCGAGAGCTGGCTCTTGTTCTGCCCAGTGGGACCTGAGGAGAAGGCAGCTGCCTGCAACATGGACAAAGGGAGAGGCAGACGCTCCTGCTTAACCCTGGGCTGAGGGGAGATGTCGAGGCATCCGTCCACAGGGGTGTGCTTGGGATACGACGGTGGGTGGAGGGCAGGGGAAGTCCCTCTGCCAGTTTCTGGGCAGGAAAGAGCCTTGTCCAACTGGTGGAAGCAGATGCTCCTTCCTGTGGCCAAAGGGACTGGTCTTAGGGGCCCCTCGGGTCCTGCATGGAGTCCCCCATAGCTATGATTCCCTTCCCATATGATGACTGAACTCTTGGGTGGAATTGATACAGACACAGACTTACATTGGTATCTGAAAGAGTTCCCTCCCAACCCACCATCACCAACGGGCACAAGCATGGCCAGCCTGCCAGGCGCAGGGTGGGTGTATCTGCTGGTCCCAGGCCAGGGAGAGCTGGGACCCAGTCCGAGAGGGGCCGAGGGTCAGCCGCCCTTCTGCCAGGCACAGACCTCAAGGGCACAGCAGGGACTGCCTGGGATGTGGCACTGGCTGTCTGGGAAGTGCCCTGGAAGTCGGGGGCCAGGTGTTCGCTGAAGGGAGAATTCCGGAGTCTAAGAGTGACATGAGGACTGCATCAGGAGAGGGACTGAGGCTGGGGATGATGCTCTGCTCTTTCCTACATTGTCCTGTCCTCCCCCTCTCTACTGAACTCCCCTTACCCCATGTGGCTGACCTCTACCCCCTTGCCCCTAACCCACCTCTCAGAATCTCAGATTGCAGCATAGACAGGACTCAGCACCCACCCTGGTTCCCTCCTGGCCAACACCTTCTTCACCGTCTGACTTCTGATTCCTCCCCCGGGTCCTTGTTGGCTCAGGACGACAGTGACTGCCAGAGCACTGGTCCCAGCACTCCCTGTATACAGAGCTGTGCTCATGGTGCCACGAACTGGCCCAGTAGCAGAGGCTGGTGGGGCACAGCTGTCCGGTACACGGTGGTCTGGCCCCTCCACTGAGTGACAAAGGGAGCCATGTTTGGGTCCTCTCTGGCCCCATCCGCCCACAGAACACACCAGTAAGCTGGACAGATGCCCCTCTGCCCCATCCCTTCTGCTCCAGGTGGGCAGTGTCAGAGGCCTGCCCTCTGTGGCCTTTGGGAAGAAGAGTTTATCTTGGCAGGGCTTCCCCAGCTCAGTGCACATCAGCACAACGGGGAAAATGTGGAGAATGAAGAGTCACTGGTGGGTGATGTGGGCAGCTCCGTGACTCCTCTACCTCAGGGCCATCCTCAGGAGACGAGGTAGCATCTCCCCTTTGCAGGGTTGAGGAATGTTAAGTGAGCCGTGTCTGAAGGGAATCTGGTCTGTACTCTTGTGTGTGTGGGTGCTCAGCCAACTTCCTTGCCTAAGGATGAAAGTGACACCTCGGCTTAGTGACACCTCGGGACTCCTGCTGGTTACCCCACTGGCTGTTGTCTGCCCCACATCCCTGTCCTTGTTTTGGCTGAACCATTCCCAGGAAGCAGAACCTGTGCTTCCTCCACCTCTGTGTCACGCCTGAGGCCTAAAATCTGCCCCTAAATGGGGACAGTGTAGGTGACTGGGAGGCCCTGATAGACTGAATGTTCATTCCCCACTCCCGCCAATTCCTGTGTTGAAGCCCTAATCCAGGATAGATGATGGTATTCGGAGATGGGGCCTTTGGGAGTTCTTCAGGGTTAAAGGAGACCATGAGAGTGGGGCCCTAATGTCGGGATTAGGGCCCTGGTAAGAAGCCCAGACCCCAGAGCTCTCTCTCCCCAACACGAGGACACAGTGAGAAGGCAGCCGTCTGCAAGCCAGGAAGAAAGCCCTCACCAGAACCTCACCACACTGGGACCCTAACTTTGGACTTCCAGCCCCCCGACTGTGACAAACACATTTCTTAATACATGTCCCATCCATCCCCCAAGTCTATGACACTTTACCCTAGCAGCCCTATGTGTCTAGGAAAAGGCCTATCATCTCAGAAACTTCCCTCCTAAGTGGTATCTGAAAACCATGCACCAGAGCCATGGGAAAGAACGAAGAAAGGCTCAGCCCTTTATGACGGTCAGCACACCTCCACCGCAAGTGCAGCTTATCACATGTGAACCAGGAGCGCTGTGGGACACAGTGAAAGGGAATCTGCAAACACCTGTGACATCATCACATCCATGCTCAGGGAAGCCAGGCAGCTCGCTCACACCAGGTGCTGGGGGTGTGCTGAGGCTCTTGGCCTCCCTGCTCACGCACCCAGGTCACATGAAAAATATAATACAAACCACATGGGAAAATATGATAGAAACCAATATACCCACCACGTAGATGAGGGCCATGTTAACATTCTACCGTTTGCTCATTTTTTAAATAAAAGCTTTATTAAGACATTCACATAGCATGCTTTCACTCATTGAAATGATACAATTTGTGTTTTACATAGAATTTGCAACCATCACCACATTAAATTTATTTATAGAATTGGCAGCCGTCACTGCATTAAGTCTTCTTACAGAATTTGCAAGCATTACCTCAATAAACTTTAGAACATTTTTATCACCTCAAAAAGTAACCCCTGGTTGGGCATGGTGGTTCACTCCTGTAATCCTAGGACTTTGGGAGGCTGAGGCAGGTCAATCACCTGAGGTCAGGAGTTCATGACCAGCTTGGCCAACACGGTAAAACTCCGTCTCTACTAAAAATACAAAAAATTAGCTGCATTTGGTGGCGGGTGCCTGTAATCCCAGCTACTCGAGAGGCTGAGGCAGGAGAATCGCTTGAACCTGGGAGGTGAAGGTTGCAGTGAGCTGAGATCTCACCACTGCACTCCAGCCTGGGCAACAAAAACGAAACTTGGTCTCAAAAAAAAAAAAAAACCTCTAGGTTGGGCTCGGTGGCTCATGTCCGTAATCCCAACACTTTGGAGGCCAAGCTGGGTGGATCACTTGAGCTGAACTCAAGACCAGCCTGGCCAACATGGCAAAACCCCTACTCTACTAAAAATACAAAAACTAGCTGGGCGTGATGGTACACATGTGATTCCAGCTACATGAGAGGTTCAGGCAGAAGAATTGCTTGAACCCCAGAAGTGGAGGTTGCAGTGAACTGAGATTGTGCCACTGCACTCCAGCCTGGGTGACAGAGTGAGGAAAACAAAACAAAACAAAACCTAGTCATTTAGCTGTCCCCCCATCTGCACCCTAGGCCTACGTAACCACGAATGTACTTTCTACATAGCTTTACATACTCTGGACTTTCATATGAGTGGAATCATACAATATACGTCTTTCACCACCTGTCTTATTTTACTACGAATATTTCCAAGGTTCATCCATGTTTTTAGCGTCTATCATTACATCAAATCTTTCTGTTGCTGAATAATACTCCACTGGTGGATATCCTGAAACTTATTTATACACCAGGTGATGAACACTTGGGTTTTTACTTTTAGGCTATTGTGAATAATACTTCTAAGATATTTGTGTACAGTGTTTTGTGAGGATGTATGTTTTCATTTCTCATAGCTATATACCTAAGAGTGAAAGTGATGGGCCATATGGAAACTCTATGTTTAACAACTGCAGAAGGTACCAGTCTATTTCCAGAGTAGATATACCATTTTCTATACCCACTAGCTATGTGAGGGTCTGTTTTTCTCCATATTCCAGCTGTTTATCATCTCTCTTTTTGATAAAGCCATCCCAGTGATTCTAAAGTTGCGTCTCATCGTAGTTTTCATTTGCGCTTCCCTGGCGTTGAACCTCTTTCATGTGCTTATTGGTCATTTGTGTATCTTCTTTGAAGCAATGTGCACTCGACATTTACTCATTTTTAACTGGTGTGTGTTTTGTCACTGAGTTTTAAGAACTCTCTGTATTCCCAATAAAAATCCTTTCGGGGGGCCGGGCGAGGTGGCTCACCCCTGTAATCCCAGCACTTTGGGAGGCCAAGATGGGTGGATCACCTGAGGTCAGGAGTTCAAGACCAGCCTGGCTAATATGGTGAAATCCCGCCTCTACTAAAAATAAAAAAATTAGCGGGACATGGTGGTGTGTGCTTGTAATCCCAGGTACTCAGGAGGCGGAAGTAGGAGAATCACTTGAACCTATGAGGTGGAGGCTGAAGTAATCTTGGATCATGCCACTACATTCCAGCCTGGGCAACAAAGCGAGACGCCGTCCCAAAAACAAACAAAGAAACCCTTTACAGGATATAATTTGCAGTAATAGTCTCCCATTCCATGGGTTGTACTTAACTTTCTTTTTTTTTTTCCATATAGAGGCAGGGTCTCACTATGTTGCCTAGGATGGTCTTGAACTCCTGAGCTCAAAAAATCCTCCCCTACCTTGGCCTCCCAAAGTGCTGGGATTACAGACCTGAGCCACTGTGCCCAGCCATCATTTATTTTCTAGATACTACTCTTTGAAGCACAGAAGTTTT